CACAAGTCCATCAGGGACTCTGCCAGCACAGCTGGCCCAAGGCCAGTGGCCAAGGAGACACTGCCTACCACAGAACATCACGCTGAGCTGTACAGTGGTGTTGGACTGGGTGGGATAGTTACTCCCAAGCAGCCATTGCTTGGAGACTGGTGGATATTGGCCAGTGGCAGGAAGAGGTAAGTCATGGCCATCTCATGGGTGGGCTTTGGCTTGCTTTTCCTTTAGTTTCTTTACTTCCAAGAATGTTTTCTATCCAGACACGTGTGGGTTTTCTTGGTTTTTCTACTTTGATCCCAATGCCTAAAGAGCAGGAAGCAAGTGAGTGACTGCAAGGGTAGACACTTCACATCCCGACAGGTTCACTCATCATCAACAGGCAAGTATTGGATCTTACAGTGTCTAGGAAGGATGTGGAGGCTAAATGAATAAGCAAAATGTCAGATCTTTGCTCTTTCCCAGAAAAATTCAGTGCAATAAAAGGCTCGATTTCCCCCCCAAACAATATAACACAATTCTTGTGCCCATCTCTTTGCTTTGCCCTCCTGCCCTGATCCTCAACTAACCTGTGCTTCCCTCCTGGCAGCCTTCACCCATAAAATGTTGGTGGTGTCTACCGCTGTGACACCTGTGACCACAGAGAGGACCACAGCCACCACCTCCATCAGCAGCACCTCCAAGACCTCTGTCTCCACAGAAGTCCCTCTGGAAACAGCCTCTCCACATCCCAGCTCTCCACCTGCCCCCAGCAGCCCACTCAGCACCCGGCTGCCATCCACTGCCACCACTTCCACAGTCTCCTCCACAGCAGCTCCAAGCACCAGCCCCAGGCCTACACCTACAACCCTGAGGCCCAAGCCCTCTTCCCCAACAACCAGTGCTGCAAAGGAGTCTCCTGTCACAGAGTCCTCTGTGCCCACCACAGCCAAAACCAGCATGCTGCCATCTCCTGCTTCTTCTCCCTCCTCAACTGTGTCCTCAACAGGGCTCAGCTCTTCACCACCTGGTAAGGCTCCCTCTTACCAATCCTGCTACTTCTCCCTGCTCAACTTTTTCCACTTGTTCTTTCCAGCCACACACGTTCCTTGCAGAGTTGTTTTAGTTTTTGCTCTCCATCCCCTTTGTTTCCGCATTGGAACACTGGTATGGCCTTACTTTGTTATGGCCCCAGGGCTCTGCTCTGTGCCATGTAGCCTGGCCTGGCAATTTCAGAGAGGACTGTCCTTAAGCTCTGCCTGTTCCTTGAAGGAACATGTGCATATCCACACAGGGTCCTCTTCCAGGAAGAGGTAGTGGGATCTTGCCTGTTGGAAGGCATGATATCCATTTCCCGCCTTTTTCTGAACAAAACCACACAACATCTTATAGGCTGGACCAACAGGAAAAGTGTTCCCTTTTTCCCAGGAATACTCAGTGCAGCACAGCATTGCCATTTTTGTTTATATCCCCAATCTAAACCTCTGACCATACACATTTCTTTCTTTCTTGTCCTCGACTCAACTGATCTCTGCTTTCTTCCTGACAGCCTTCACCCATAAAATGTTGACCATGCCACACGCTGTGACACCTGTGACCACAGAGAGGACCACAGCCACCACCTCCATCAGCAGCACCTCCAAGACCTCTGTCTCCACAGAAGTCCCTCTGGAAACAGCCTCTCCACATCCCAGCTCTCCACCTGCCCCCAGCAGCCCACTCAGCACCCGGCTGCCGTCCACTGCCACCACTTCCACAGTCTCCTCCACAGCAGCTCCAAGCACCAGCCCCAGGCCTACACCTACAACCCTGAGGCCCAAGCCCTCTTCCCCAACAACCAGTGCTGCAAAGGAGTCTCCTGTCACAGAGTCCTCTGTGCCCACCACAGCCAAAACCAGCATGCTGCCATCTCCTGCTTCTTCTCCCTCCTCAACTGTGTCTTCAACAGGGCTCAGCTCTTCACCGCCTGGTAAGGCTCCCTCTTACCTGTCCTGCTGCTTCTGCCTTCTCTCCCTTTTCTCTTTTTCACTTTTCAGCAGTGCAGGCCACTTGAACATTTTCTTCAAATTTACTCTCCATTCCCCATTCTTTTTGGTTTGGAACACTGGTATGGTCTTACATTCTTATATCTCTGGGGCACTGATCTTTCCCATGGAGCCTGCCTGTACTAAAGGATACTGTCCTTATGAGACCTTCATATCCACACAGGGTTGAGGTAGCTGGATCTTGCCTGTTGGAAGCTACTGCATCCATTTCCTCCCTTTTTAGACAGCGGTGTGTAGAGAAGACACACAATACCAGTGCTCCTTTTTGCATGGAAATACTCACTGCAGCATAGGCATTCAATTTTAGATTCTGTCTCCAATCTGAATCCTCTGCCTACCTCCATTTCCTACTCTTTTTGTCTTCATCCTCAACTGACCTGTGCTTCCCTCCTGGCAGCCTTTACCCATGAACACTCAACTGTGCCACACATTGTGCCACATGTGACCACACCCAAGACCACGGCCACCACCTCCATCAGCAGCACCTCCAAGACCTCTGTCTCCACAGAAGTCCCTCTGGAAACAGCCTCTCCACATCCCAGCTCTCCACCTGCCCCCAGCAGCCCACTCAGCACCCGGCTGCCATCCACTGCCACCACTTCCACAGTCTCCTCCACAGCAGCTCCAAGCACCAGCCCCAGGCCTACACCTACAACCCTGAGGCCCAAGCCCTCTTCCCCAACAACCAGTGCTGCAAAGGAGTCTCCTGTCACAGAGTCCTCTGCGCCCACCACAGCCAAAACCAGCATGCTGCCATCTCCTGCTTCTTCTCCCTCCTCAACTGTATCTTTAAGAGGGCTCAGCTCCTCACCGCCTGGTAAGGCTCTGCCCTAGTCACCCTTCTCCTGCCTTCTCTTTCCAGCTGTCCTTTTTTCTGTCACTCTACCCATCTCCCTACCTGCTTTGTTCCCTTCAGGAAACACATCCCAGTTTTGCATTTGTGTCGCTGCTTATTCCTCCATTCCTTTGCTTTTGATCACCGTGGTTCACCAGTGTAGTCCTGGGCCTGTGCACTGGCTCTGCTTTGGATGGAGCTAATTATATTTCCCAGCAGATTTCTCGGTGTTGTATTTTAGATGTGGGTCCCAGCCAGTGTTGATAGCACTCAAGTACTTTGGTGACTGTTCATGAGTGCCAGCTCTGCCCCCGGGCCCCCCATGTTTTGTCCTTCTGCCAGCCAGGGAGCAGGCATAAGGTGGTCACAAGTCCATCAGGGACTCTGCCAGCACAGCTGGCCCAAGGCCAGTGGCCAAGGAGACACTGCCTACCACAGAACATCATGCTGAGCTGTACAGTGGGAGAGTAGGGCATTTATTGCAGTGTAGCAATTGCTCTGAGACTGGCTGGATATTGGCTTTCCTTGGGATGTGGTGAGTGACTGCCATCGTATAGATGGATCATCATTTTGTTTTTAGTTTTTTCCCTTCTGAAACTGTCTTTATCTGGACATGCATGGGTCTTCCTGGTTTGGCTTTTCTGATTGTCTCCCCATATCTGAATAAGGGGAGTGGATAAATGGCCAGGCAGGCATCCTCAGTTTTACCTGTGTCTTTCTCCTGGCAGCCTCTACCCATGGAAAGTCAACTGTGCCACACATTGCACCACCTGTGACCATCTCCACAGAAGCCCCTCTGGAAACCTCTCCAAATCCCAGATCTCTGCCTGCCCCCAGCAGCCCGCTCAGCACCCGGCTGCCATCCACTGCCACATCTCCATTCTCTTCTGCCTTGGTCTCATCCATCAGCACAACGTCTGTGCCTACTTCCACATTTAGATCTGTTGAGAGCACTACACATTCTTACTTCCAAAACACCACATCAACTCCATATGGCAAAACGTCTTCATTAGCTGTCCCTACCAGTATCTCTACTCAGTCCAGGCCAGCGTTGATCCCAACAGTTTTATCTACAACTATTACCTTTGCTCCCCATGTTATCACCACGGCTTCTACGGAGTCGGTTGAAAGGAGTTCCCTGCAAACAACAACACTGACCACCGCTCGAACAACATCATCTCCTCCTCTCACCTCTGGCCTTTCAACATCCCTGTCCTCTGCTGTTCCATCAACAGTGCCACACGGTAATGTATCTCATGAAATTTCCTTTATCATGGATTTGCTTTTAATGCTTTTTTTTGAGCCTGAATTCACGTATCCTTTGTCAGTGATCCTGTTTGTACCCACTGGCTCCGTCTTTTCTTTTTGTCCTTTCTGCAGTTATTTTTTGTAAAGCTATTGCCTGATATCCTACATTTCATACAGATTCCCTGCTCGTCAATATTTTAAACTTTAAGAAGTGTGAGTTATAAGAGTCTGACAGGATGCATTTCAGGAGAGCCACAGAACCTTTATTCTGTCATCCTAAAAACCTCTCATTGGGACAGGCTATCCTCTCATTACCCTCTAGCCTTCTTGTTAGCTCTTACATACTGTGCACACTTGCTGTGTGTATATATATCTATCTATATCTATATCTATATCTATCTATATCTATATCTATATCTAGCATCTTAGTCTACTGTCTAGTTAGTAGTTGTCTTATTTTCCAATTAGAAAATCCCAAATCATTCTACAGCATTAACTGAGCTCCCTCTACAATAATGTTCAATCATCTATAACCTTTCTCTCAGCCGGGAACCTGACTGTACTTAAAAGATCATTGTGCAGGATCAGGTGTGAGTGGTGCATGAGTTGCCTTCATAGTTTTCAGTCTTCTTCATCTTTGTTCTCCTTAATATAAACTTCAAATACTATCTTTGAACTCCTTGGAAAACCTGTGTTTTCAGTCAGCTTCCTGCTTCATGAAGTGCTTAGTGTGATGCTTCAAGGCAGGAGAAAACACTGACACATAGAATTGTTACCAACACGTAGCATTAAACATTCTCTCTAGTAAGGCAAGTTACAAACTTCTGGCTACCTATAAATATATCCTTATGAGCAAATTAAGCATTTTTCAAAAAAGTCAAGTCTGTGAACCAGAAATTATTCTATCAGAATAAGCCAGCTGCTTGTTCACTTTACATCTTTGTGTTCTCAGCAGAGGATTAGCTTTTCCATGCTGGACTGAATGTATACTATATTCTTAACAGGATTTTTTTTTTCTCATTTGTAATTCCCACTTCTGCTTTCTTAAAAAAAAGAACTTTATTCTTGTTGTCCTCCAGGGCAAGCCTCTCCTGCAACTTTAATACCTTCTCTTGCTGTGTAACTTACTTGTGACTAGCTAATTATGTCATGCAATAAGAATGGTTTTCCATGAAACCAAATATGGAGGCTTTTGGCATCTAACAAAGTTACTCAAGAAGACCAAAATGAATTATAGCAGAGTTTTTTTCTTTTTACATTTGACAGAGCATTGTAGAGAAGTTGAATATGAAGAAAAAGTAACTTACAAAGGCTGTTCCACAAATGTCACTTTGAGCCGATGTGAAGGATCATGTCCATCTTCAACAAAGTAAGGATAACTGAGGCTGTACAGTACTAGAGTCGTTTTCCTTATTTGGTCATCTGTAAGTAGGGAAATTTATGAACTACTGTGCCTTTATAATTCAGGGAGGAAAATGTGGTTAGAGTCCACCCAGCAATAAACAACACTGCTGTATAAACCAGTTAATAGCAACAATAAAGTCATTAATTACACAGGGATTTACACCTAATCAAGGAAGGTCATCTCACTCCCTTAAGTTTTTGTTGTTTTGTTTTTAAAAAAAGCCAGACATCAATGCTGCAGGTTTGGAGGGCTTTTTTGTTGTTTTGATGGTTGGGGTTTTGGTTTTGTGTTTCCTTTTTAAAGACTGAAAAAGTGGTTTAGACTATACCTATTTCAAGTAGCTAAGACAGTAAAATAGGAATTTTCATCTAAGGTAAGTAATGTCACTTCAGTTATCTCACAGCATGCTCCTAACAGTGTGATTCAGGTGTATTTTATAATTACAGGGGTACTATCTGAGCCTGTGGAGATCTACTGCCACTTAGGAAAATCTGACAGGAAATCAAGGTTTCAATACAAGTAAAACAGTGCAGTAGTATTACAGTTCAGTTATTGGGTGGGAAAAAAATTACATTCCCAACAATCCAAGCCAGTACAATGTTCAAGAATGGAAAGCAATGAAGTTTTGCAGGAACTAATTTAAATTAATCCTGATGCTAAAAATTGTCCCTTTCAAAGCACATTTAAGTGTCCCCCCAGCGTTTTGAAAACTGAGTGACTAACTTTGTACCCTGAGAGTTGACAAAAGGACTGTCAAATTTTAGAGCCAAGGTTTGTCTCAATTGCTAAGAAAGTTGTGGCTAAAACCCAGTTTTAACTGAAACCAAGAAAACTTTTCTCTGCTTCAAAAGAAGTTTTTCCAAAAAGTGTTTTTTCCTTAACTCTTTTTCCCCTACCTGAGTTCTGGCCTGTTATTGATAGAGTTTCTCACTGACAAGGGCAGAACCAAGACTAGCAGGAGGCTGAACATAGTCAGGAATCAACAGCCTAAGAACTGTAGTACTGTAAGGACAGACTAAATCCTTACCTGCCTATTCAAGCTCTCACTTCATCTGCCTGTGCTCTGTTACTGTGAATCCAGAAATTATGTGCAAGTCTTCTACCTTGTTACCTGACCTCACAACCAGATCCAGCACTAACTGTTCAGAGGCAGAAAGGGATTTTTGTTCCTCTGTGAACTGCAAAAGGAACACACACAATTCAGCATCTGCAGGAGACCTTTTCTAAACTCTAAGTGGTCCAGGGCACAGCTTTAACAAATTTAATCCCTGGACACTTTACAAATATTCAGAAGGCCTAAAAGAGACCAGGAGAATCAAATTCTATTAGTTTTCCAGTGATGTCTGTGGCCTAACAGATGAGATCATAGAATCAGACTATCCTGAGCTGGAAAGGACCTATCCTGTTCTAAACAGGAGGCAGCAGCTCAGTACACCAGTTTCTGCATCATGAGAACTTAAAATAGAGTAATTTCCCACATTGTAGTCCTGCAGTTGACAGAGCCATTCATCTGAGGGCTGTGCTCTTTTCTTTAAACCTCCCACCATAGGAAAGAAAGAAGTTCATATACTTGAAAAAATGTGAGCCTAAAATGCTGTAAATGAATGCCAACTGATTCTGCCTCCTTTCCACACAGGCTGGATGTTGAGAAGATGACGGTCACCACAGCATGTGGCTGCTGTAGGCCACTTGAACTTCTTAAGAAGCAATTCCAACTACCATGCCAAGACCCAGATAATCCTGGAAGAAGGCTCACCACAGAAATAATTGTATTTAGTGGCTGTGTGTGTAACTTTGACAGCTGCACACACTAGCCAGACCTGATGGCTGCAGATACCATTTGTTGTAATTAAACCGTGATCACAAGTTAATCCTGCCACAGCTCATTGCTGGGTTCTCTCGTACTGATTACACAGGACATCCTTGCTGTCAGGCTGCCTGAGCAGCTGCCTGGACTACCAGTGGAGTTACCAGATAAATTATTCCTGATCAGGAGCAGGGTGGGGTACAGAGCAGAAAAGAACAGGCATAGAAATAAAGAATAGGCTCATGGAAGACAAGAAACTGCTTGGCCTTGCTCAGGGTGATTTATTTAACCAGAGGCTAAAACTTGGCCCATGCATTGGGCAGTAACAGAAATTAATGTTCAAATAAAATAGAAGGAACTGAATTTGCTAATTTCTTTCTCCTTATTTGACCTGAAAAATTATTTTAACCAGAACTGTTTTAACTGAAGAATAGTCTATTATGTTCAGTCAACTTGGAACTGTGGAAGAGCCCACTACTTCACTGGGAGAAGGGAAGTGACCCGTTCCTTGTCTTTGAGGGTGGACACAGCATGTGTGCTCATCATCCACAGATGACAGGGTTGGAAAACAAGGTGCTACATGACCCAAAAGCGAATGGTGAGGTTTCCCCAAGCACCCTTAGTGTGGTGGGACATTTCTAGGAACATAACTAACACACACATGGAACAGCTTTGGGATAAAGCAGGTAGCTGAGGGCTTTTCTCTGCGAGAAATCAAAGCCCACATGCACCTAACAGGATACAAATGGTTCACTCACAAGTGATTTCTACTTGCTGCCACTATAGACAATCTTTACTTTGTTTGAAAGTCATTTAAGAAAAAGATGTATGATTGCACAAAAGCTCAGAGTGCTCTGTTTTCCCTTTTAGCAAATGTAAGGGAAGAATCTGAAGCATACATTTAAAGCTTAAATGAGGTTATTTAGCTGTTTAGATTACTCTTCTTCTACAGTGCCATCAACCCCGCATGCAATGCAGGTGTGTGCAGCCTAGCCTCAACCCTACACCACTATTAGGAGGAGTTTACTGCACCAAATACTGCTCATGTACTTACTGTTGTTAAACACTCAAAGGAGAAAGATTTTACATCTGGGTCTTCTTAAAAATAGAGTATTTATAACTTGTAACCAAACACAAACAAAATCACTCACTGGGACAGCAGAAATCTGTAGTCCAGGTAAGGCTCCAGTGAATGAACCCACCAGTACTTATAAAATAATCACAGCAATTGTGTTCCACAACCATTCCATGAGAATATTTTTTACATCTTCATGCTCCCAGACAAAAAAAGGACAGTTTCATCACTGTTCTAATCATTTATTTAATCTTAATATGTTCTTCTGATGAATATAGTCTAATATATAGTCTTCTATATGAAAATTCTCCACTTAATTTGACAGAACTTTGTTTTATACAAATAAGACAATCACCATAAATGTTACATACTGGAGTGTAGGTCAAGAATGAACATATGCTACCTGTTTTGCTATTCAGTTATTTTCACATGTCAATGCCTGAAAATACTGCACTTAAAAACAATAACACTGTTTACTGCAGAAATTACTTTGTCTGCTTGACAGGATACATCACTGGTTAAGTTAACCATCATTCACAAAAAAAATAAAACCAAGTATTTGTCTTTAATTTGTTCACTTTTCTGCTCATGGCTTCATTGAGCTGACATTTAATACAAAGAGTGAACAGTCATAAGCTTAACACAGTCACCACTGAAAAGACACTTTCCCTTACCCCCCCTCCTTCCCACATTTTAATGCACATTTTAGCACATTTGAACCAAAGCAAAGTGAAATAAAGTAGTGCAGTGTCTCAAGGTGTCCTTTAATGAGGGCACAGAACATTTTTCAGAGGGACAGATATACAACAGGATTTGGAAAATACAAAACAGAACCTCCTCCTCTGTCTTTGCTAAGACTCCCTTTAGTTCAGCACATCAGATTTTAACACAGCAGCCAAGAGCATGGTTAACATAACAGGACTAATAATGAGACACAGAGCATCAAGAGGAGAAAACAAAAGGTATTCCATCAGTATTTGCCAACTGCCCAACCTGACTGCAGGAACCCCTCACCAAGATTTTCAATGACAATATTTATGATTAAAGAGTCTTAAGTAAGAAGAATTTGAAAGGCCTTAAAGGCGCCAATTGTTCAAGAGAACTTTTGCAAAAAAACAGGTCTTTGCCAAGTTTTCAGCTTTAATATCCATAGTTACCAGCTATTTCTGGAAAAACAAAACATATCCCCCAAAATCCACACATCACAGCCAAACCTTTGTTCCTCATTTTTCACTTTTACTCAAGTACAAGCAGGAGTTTTCGGCCAAACCAAGTGATAACCTCCCAGTTGCATCATTTAATCTCAAAGCACTGAAGACAAAAAGGCACACTCAATCATGGAGAGTCCTGTCCCCTGTTGAGCACTGGGCAGCATGACAGCAGCCTCATTTAAATGTATTTTCAGTGTCTCCACCATAACTCAAGACCTTCATTTCCTGGGCACGCTTGTCTGTATGTGTTGTGACACAGCAGTCCCAGGCTTCCCTTCAATGGCCATGAGGAAATCTTGACCTGAGGCTCCCTTCTCCTGTCAGCAGGAGCTGATTTTGTTCACCACGATCTGTAGCTCTTGCTGACACCAGCCCAGGGTTTCTAACTGGGCCACCTCACCTGCTTTGGTTTAGCAGCCTCTGTTGCACGCCTCAAGGCTTGAAGAGTGTGAGCCAAAACTTCTGGCCACTGACTTTTGCAGAGAGGCTGCAAAGCGTTTGATGTGAAGCAAGGTACAAAGACTTTGGCTGTAAAAACCACTAGAAAAGATGAACATTTTTGGGTCTAATACTTTCAACAGTAGTTTTCTACACCATCTTGGACATTTTTACCACTGACAGGAAGGAAACTGCTTAGATATCAGTTATTCAACCTCTTGAGTCTGAACATTAATGTACACTGGGGAAAAGATATTGATTACAATTACATTTTCGCCTAAGAGTGCATGCCTTACAGCCCTTCAAGGGCCCATTTCTTCCCACTTCTTTTATACAATACTGCAGTTTTCTACAGTTAATTGTATCACATCATTAGGACTTTTGAAGTCTGATGGCAAACAGAATGTTTAACTTCACTGAGAAACAACAAACAAGTACATACTCATTCACCCCCTACCAGAGAGGCTCACCTCATTAACAGAGATAAGCAGAAGGATTAAGAGTAATTTTTGTGTTCAATCCAAATATCAGAAAACATTAAGATGTAAAATATTACAAGATTAATACTTTTAAGACTCTGGTCCTGTGGCATTTTTCAAATACAAAGATTGGTGACACAACATAAATGTTTACTTTAATCAGATTCAAACACATCTTCAAATCTGCCCTTCCATCCATTAGACAACTTGCGGCAATGTTCAACTTTACAAAGTTTTGATTCTACGTTAACATGGGAATTAACCTTCCTGAGCAGCAGTAAATCAGTTTCTTTCAGCTCAGAGCAGAGGAAGTATCTCTTAAAGGTACTGAAGCAGAAGGTTTCTGAGCTATTTTCAGCTGAAATCCTTGATTGCCACAACTAAAACAATTTCCCTTCAACAAGTTTAAAAGCCTGACCTCTGCAAAAAAAGGAGCAAAAGACAGCCCTCCCACCCTTTGTGTAACACACTAAAAGCCATTTTTAATGGAAAAAGTCACTTCCCTGTACTGTACATTTTATAGTCTTAATTTCAAACAAGGGTCAAGTCCTATTAAGGCAGGGAACTGGTATTGGTTAACATTGCAGTACTCAGACAGTGATGTACAAGACATTTATTTGCAGTATGATGACAGTGATATAAGTGGAAAAACCAAAACTGACATGGTTAATATTAAAACTGTTCTGACAGCAATTCACATAATCTCTGAGATACAGCTTCTTTACTTGTTCGTAGTGTGAGCCTATACATCTGTAAAAGAACATAAAATAATACTTTTTAAACAATGGCATTAAAGGAATGCACAGTCAACAGTGAAAACTAACAGTTACCTCTTACTTGCTTTGTAAGCTTTGGTAGGAAAAAGATCTCAAAATACTCAGAGGGAGCTACCCAGCAACACAACTTTTACAAACTAGTGGCTGAACCAATCCTATCTTCAAACCCTTGTTGAGAATTACTCTTACTCAAGTATTTTTTGGGTTTAACAGAAAGGTGTTGTCCACAAAATCTGTTAAAGAGGAGCAAATGCTGTCAAAAGTCTAAAGACTCTGGACAACCACTTCTTCAGAGAACAGAAGACATAGCCACTGAAACCTTATTTTTAATCCTTAGTTAATTTTGAAACACCTCTGTCAAAAAAGCTTTAGTAAAAATACTCTTAACATTATATTCACTTATGCTTTCTCTTTTAGCAAATTACTCATTTACAAATTCAAAATAGCAAAAGGAAGCATGCTTAACCTGGTCCAAGGAGCATATGACAGTCTGGAATATAACCATCTCTTCCAAGAGGAAAGAGAATGGCTCTGAAGAAGAAGCTTACCCAGCTGGGCCAGGACCAGCTGCTACAATTTAATTTCTTGTTGGAGTCTGCAGTCATAAGAAGCTATTGCAATAGTGATTTTTAAATATCTTAAGGATTTCAGATACACAGAGATACTTAGTTCAAACAAGAACTTATATCTAAGCTGGAGATGGTTACACAGATACCTGTGCCTGGAGGTTGGGTTCAAGGCGCAGCAAGCATCCAATCTGAGTAGTTTTTGTATGTATGATACCAGCACCAACAAAGTTAGCAGGATTGGGATCTACCTCCTCAAGCAAGGCTGATCCAAATCCAATTATCTGTGAAAGAAGCACAGAAGATTTAATGTGGGCAGAGGAGGATACAAATACAAAGTATACCCAAACAGTCACCATCAAATAGCACAGCAAGTCTTAAGTCTTCAAGACAAATTCATTACTACAAATTTTTGACAGCTGATGCTGATAAATGAGCTGTTCTGTAAATAAGGCTTTTCAAAGGCAACTGAGAAGGAAGTTAAGATTTAACATCAGTCTCCCCTGGTTTTGATACAGCCATTCCCGTCTTACACAGTCACTCCTGTTTTGCCTAAGGGCAGCCAAAGAGTCAGTTTCACCTTTTCTAACCAGTACTCAAGTATAAATAAAGGCTTGAACTACCTTCCAGTTCAGTTTTAAGCAGTGAACTGGTGCTTTCTTAAACAGCTTCAGGTCTCCAGCTGCTACTGAAGGCTGCATCTAATTCAGACCACAGCTAGAAACTGTCCAACTCAGCACTGCCACAATCTATCATAAAGCATGGACTCACATTTTCAATGGATGATCCAACTGCTGTTTAAACAAAAAAGCACAAAGTCTGCTTATACCACATGCTAATTTGGGCTGGAAGAGAGTTAATTTTCCTCTTAGCAGTATGGGGCTGTGTTTTAGATTTCTGCTGAAAACAGTTGCTAACACAGGGATGTTTTAGTTATCACTGAGCAGGGGTTACACAGCGCCAAGGTCTTTTTTTCTCCCCACTCCATCAGTGAGGAAGCTGGGGATGCACAAGGAGCTGGGACAGGACACAGCCAGGACAACTGAACAGTGGGATATCCCTTTCTGTAAGATGTGCTGGCCCAGCACATAAGGCTGGGAAAAGAAAAAATGGGAGTGATGTTGTTTTGCTTTCCCAAGTAACTTACACCTAATGGAGTCCTGCTGCCCTGGGGATGGCCAAACACCTCCCTGCCAGTGGGAAGCACGGAATTAATCCTTTGCTTGTGTGCATGCCTTTTCTTTACCGACTGAACTCTCTTTACCTCAACCCACACATTTTCTCACTTTTACCCTTCTTATTCTCTGTCCCACTCCTCTGGGGGAGAGTGAGCAAATGGCTGTGTGGTGCTTAGTTGCCAGCTGAGGTTAAAACATGACCTGCCACTGCCCTGGTACACTATGAATTAAAAATATCACACCACCACCCACCTTTGCTTTCGTGATCTCTGCATCCATTGGGTGCTTTGCTTTAAAGATATTCTGTACTTCCTGTTTTGGACTGCAAGACAAGGCAAGACAAATACATTACGAACAGCATTTCCAATAGCAATTAATTCTACTGGGAGAGCTCATGGCTTACAGGATTTAGTGTGGGATGAGGCACTGCACCAGTTGCACTCACAATATACCTTTCTCTTCCCTCGCCCACCACAAGAGCCCCAAGTGCAAAGTCTTACTTGCTCAGCTGCTTCCAACGCTGAAAAAAGTCTTGAGAAGACATCTCTGTTGGCTGGAAAAATTTATTCAGAGTGATGGGTAATTTTACCGAAAGATTTTGAAACGTTCCACCGTACCTGCAGATGGAATAGAAAAACCACAGTGCATGTGGCAGCCTCAGCAATGTGTCAGCAGAAATCAACCAAGCAATTGAGGATATGTTTATAATTAAAATCCATCAACTGCACATGAAATTTCTAATACACAGTTTCAACCCACTGTTAAATAAATTTATTTTCTCTGCTTAGATTGAACATAAATTGGCAGAACTGCTGATAAGGTTCTCTCAATTTTAGCATAGGTTTATTCTTCTAGATATAGCACCCTAAGGCGTGAAAATATACCCCTGTGAAAACATACCAATAAAAACCAGTTTGGACTAGAATAACAACATGTAGCCCAGAACTCAAGACTTTATAAAACTGAGCTGATGTTGAGTGGACAGAACAAGATTCTATTTCTGGTTGCATACACTTCCAGGCCAAGTTATTTGCAGAAATGTTCTTGGTTTCCAGAAGGGAGAAGTTACTGCGTATATTCCTGTCAAGATTTCTTAAGCAAACAGGAAGACTGCTGTTTTATATAGATAGCTGACACAGAAGTCATGGAGACATTTTACCAGTAGCTGCTTCTCAACTGTTTGGTTTGGCTGGGGTTTTAAACCACATTGTTCCAAGTGGATTCTCCCTAGCACCTTAAAGCTCAATCAGATCAAATTTTCAAGTTGTCTACCCAAGAGAGCTTTGTGTGTCTGTATTTTTCATTCAGTCACAGGGCCATGCCAAATTTAACATCTTTCATCTAATTAATTCACTAACATTT